ATTATAATTTTAATATTAATATTATAGTTTTCTGATAATAAAAGAGTTTGAATCATTATTATTATTCTTATTATTATTATATTATTATTATATTATTGTAATATTATTATCATTATTATTATTATTATTATTCTAAAAGAGGTTTATTGTGATATTATTGTTAGTATATTATTATTATTATTATTATATTATTGTGATATTATTATTAGTATCATTATTATTGTTGTATATTTTTTATGGCTTTGATGAAGGTTTTGGAAGAAAAAAATATTAATAAAGATCGTTTTATTCACTGCAAGCAACATTAGCAAGGCGAACTTTTTTCTCTAGCTATCACATATTGACATGACAATGAAACAAATAAAAATAATCCAAACAATCCAAATAATAATAATAATAATAATAATATGATTATGTAAGACTTATTATGCGAAATGTTATTGGAAGATATATTATTATTTGTATCGTTTGCTGAAATATAGTCCTTTCAAACATCATTACTTATGACATTATCAGTTGAAATGTTATCCGAAATTGAATTTAAAATATCATTATTTACTTTGGAGTTGTTCGTTTCGTACAGCGTTCTTTTTGTACGGAGCCAGGATGGTCCATTAAGGTATTGCAACTCTTTCAAACAATAAGAACACATTGCCACATTTAAAACGATTAAAGCGAACTATTACAATAAAATAAATATAATTGCCTTAAAATTACAATTCCATTTTTCAGTGAAAACCCATTACATATTCATAAAAAACGCAGTTCTTTCCACAATCCCATACCAAATTTAAATATATTAATGAACTTTAAGTCAAGATAATTGCAACTAAATAGCTATCGTGTTTAATACCTCATGCTCAATCAATCAATAATGATAATAACAATAGTATTATTATTAATAGTAGTAGTAGTAGTAGTAGTAGTAGTAGTAGTAGTAATAGTAGTAGTAGTAATAGTAGTAGTAGTAGTAGTGATAGTAGTAGTAGTGATAGTAGTAGTAATAGTAGTAGTAGTAGTAGTAGTAGTAGTAGTAGTAGTAATAGTAGTAGTAGTAATAGTAGTAGTAGTAGTAGTGATAGTAGTAGTAGTGATAGTAGTAGTAATAGTAGTAGTAGTAGTAGTAGTAGTAGTAGTAGTAGTAGTAGTAGCAGTAGCAGTAGTAGTAGTAGTAGCAGTAGCAGTAGTAGTAGTAGTAGTAGCAGTAGCAGTAGCAGTAGTAGTAGCAGTAGCAGTAGTAGTAGTAGTAGTAGTAGCAGCAGTAGTAGTAGTAGTTGTTGTTGTAGTAGCAGTAGTAGTAGTAGTAGTCCATCATCATCTCCATCTTCATCATTATTTTCATCCTTGTCGTCATCTTCATCATTTTAAATCCAGTACACCGTTACGTTACGACCATTCAATGCTATCTCTTTCTATTGATTTCAACTTAGATATTTATTCATCGTGATCATTTTATCGTTGATAAAATTTATCATTATTTTATTATTATTATTATTATCTTTCTTTTTATTACTGAAAGTAGTAGTAGTAATTGTTGTAGTAATAGTGGTGGTAGTAGTAGTAGTGGTGGTGGTAGTAGTAACAGCAAAAGCTGCAGTAGTAGTAGTAGTAGTAGTATTAGTAGAAAAAGTAAAAGTATTAATAGTAGAAATAGTAGTAGTAGTAGCATTAGTAAAAGAAGTAAAAGTAGTAGTAGTAGTAGAGGTAAAAATAGTAGTACTAGAAGTAGTAGTAGTAGCTGTGGTAGTAGTAGTACTAAGTAGTAGTAGTAGTACTAAGTAGTAGTAGTAGTAGTAGAAGCAGCAGTAAAAGCAGTAGCATATTTTTTTAAATTCTCAGTAGCGAGCGACGGAGTAGAATCCAGTAGAAACCTATAAGAGAAACATGCACCCCATGGCATGCAGCTT